CTGACGAGGACCATAAAATACGGTGAAGAAGCACCTGGAAGAAAAATCGGAAGCTTAGAAGAAGAAGACATTGAAGGAGAATCTGGCGAGGGAAGAAGTGCAAGGCAGGAGATGTTAAATATAAGGCGCAATTTGTTGTTAAAGATGTTACAATACAACTTGGAAGAAGACAATCGAGAATCTGGTAAGGGAAGAGGTCTGCAAGACAGAAGACATTGAAGGTGATGGTCAGTTTATTGTTGAAGAGCCCCCTATGGAACTTATAAGAAGACGTTGAAGGAGAATCTGGTGAGGGAAGTTTGCAAGGCAGGAGACGTTAAAGTTAAGGGACAGTTTGCAGTTGAAGATGCCCCTATGCAACTTAGAAGAAAATGAAGGAGAATCTAGTAAGGGAAGAAGTCTGCAAGCAAGTAGGAGATGTCTGGTTCAATAATTATTTAAACACATAAATCTAAATGCCTAAACTGAAGAGTGAAACCCTAATATAAAGAATACACAATTAATACCATTTTTAACGATTATTTTAGTAATATTTTTTTTAAATAATCCAAACAAGAGATGGATAAAAAATATGAAACTTTCCATATAGGATTTTTTTTTTCAAATTCACACTGTATTTTTTCAATTATGCTTAATGATACCAAATTTAAGAGGTTTATACATATTTGGATAAAGCAATCTTTATATTTTTTTTTTGAGTATATACTAACCCATAGACCTTTTAAATTAAACAGAGAAGAAAATAAAAATGATTCTACGCGAAAAGAAGCGTCGAAGTTTTTTTTTACAAATATTTCACAATTATTAATCTTCAAGTACTGTAAATAGAAATATGTCTTCAATTCCATTTCTTTCGTCTAAAGAATATTTACAGTACGTAATCTCTTATATGACTAAAAACAAGTTGCTTATTCACCTAGTTAATTTTTAGGAAATCCGTTTTATTAAAATGCAAACCCACTTTGGATCCAGATATCGGTTCATTTTCGACTACAACGTTAAAATAAATAATTGTGAGTCTGATTTGATGCGAAATGTCATAATTGTCACTTGTCAAGCCTCTATCGAAATCTGAAGGATGACACTTTTTATAGAACGTTTCAGGTCACGTGGTTTCGACATTTACTGAGGGGCATACAAACGTTCATTGAAAATTTGTTTCTTATTCTTTTTAAGCAATTATGAAAATTTTGTTGTATATTTGTTTCGATTTTTTTTCACAAACAACTGTTTAATTGTTACAATTATAATTTTAACTATCTCTTCTTCGAAGTTTTATATTTTTTGGACGTTTTTCAATGGCGTTAGGGTTACTCCTATTTTTAAGCAGTGAATGCTACCCTAAAACACCAACTATGGTCAATGGTTTATTATGACTACACTTTTATTCAAAGAATATTATTAAGTTTTATAATTTAGAGGAAATCATAGTATTTTCTGTTATAAATTGTTTTGAGCTAGTCGGTGCATTTTTTTAGAAAGATTTGGCTTAAAAGTCTTTATTTTAATGATCTAACCTAACATTACCGACTTTCTTAAGAAAAAGCATCTATTTTTCTTCCCGGCCTTTAAAAAAAACTGCAGGGATTCTAAAAAAGGGTACCATATTACTTTTTGTCCTAGTTGCAGAATCTTAAATAATATAAAAGGAAGGAATTTTTATTGATTTTATCGTTTAAAGAGGTTTATTTAACTTCGTTCGCAATGAGAAATAAAGTTTGTGTGCCCCTCAGCCATTATGGCGGCATCGTTGTGAAGTCATCCTAAACTGGTCTATAAATGTTTTGATGTTTAAAAAGTTCGTTTTTAGACTTTGTTGTAACCAAAAAACTGCATCCAAAGGGTTTAGTAATTTTGGAAAAATCATTAATTATAGCTGAACAGCCAACAGAACGTGGCCACTTCTTTTTACAAACATGACAATGACAGATTTTCAATTATCGTTTTAAAAAGGAAGGCACGGGTTAGTTGTTATAGAATAAAACCTTTATCAAGTAATAATGGTTTTAATTATAAATAAAGACCACATAAATATTATATTACGTGGTAAAATAATCCAACGCCTGAATGGCGGAGATTAACATACATTTTATAGAAAGGTTCTAGAGACTTTGAAACACACTACATACAACAATTTTGGGACCGCTAACACTCTCTTTTTTTTTTATTTCGATGTGTCTTGTCCAGCTCGAGTATAAAAAATGCGAATTAAATAATTTTAATTTATTTCTTGTTGTAGATACGGCTAAATAACAATAGACTATCTAAGAGTAAAAACCATTCGAATTTTTTTCGTAAACGTTTATAATTCCTTAGTTTTGTCATTCAAAGTATTGCAAGAAAAATATGATACATTGCTTATTTATTGATATGAAAATTGACATTTCTATAAATGGGGTGTTGCCAAATTAATTAGGAAGAAGTATATGGCAGAAAATTGTACCAAAATATTAAGGTTTTCGCGTGTGTTGGAACAGACCTCTCATTTATTAATATGACAATTGACATTTCTATAACTGCGGGTTGCCAAATTTAGTAGGAAAAAGTATATGACATGAAAAAATTTGTCTGCTAATAAAAGTAATGATCTCAATAATAAGTTTTGTCCAAATTAAATCATTTTAATTGATTTTTTATCGTAGAGACGGCTTAATACTGGACTATCCATAGAGCAACAAACCATACAATTTTTTTTTCTTAAATGTTCATAATTCAATACATAAAAACATAAAAACTATTAACAATATTAAATGTTTCAGAAAAACGCATACGAGAATTATTAATTGGCATGGAACCTTATAGCATGTCAGAATACTTAAATTAAAACTTTAATTAAGTCATCATTTTGTAGTAAATTTGTGACGTGAATCAACCTGCAATGGCTTCAGGCTGTATAAGTTCAGGTCTTACAGTTTAGCTAAATTTTTTTGATACCGCAATCCGCATTTGTAAACTCACATTTTTTTAAAATCTAAATTGGACGACACATTTGCCAGAGCGAAAAATGTATTAAGAAATGTGTTTCAGAGGTTCTAAAATAGTCTAAAAATGCGAAATATCAACCCATTCAGGTTGGGCGGATTTTTCGAACTGTTTAATTTTTCCAAAATTACCAAAAAAATCCAAATCACCACATGCGATTTATATTATTCCATTTTTAAACGACAGTTTTCAAAAATTACAATAAAAAATCAAAATATAAAACGCAGGTGGGCAAATCGGAACGTCACAAAACAAAAAAAATCTAATATATCCCTAAAGACGATATATAAAAAATAAGGTACTCTATCACTGACACTCACAAACATTTCAATAATAAATAATAATCAGTCATTATTCAAAAAACAAGTATGCGACTCACCCTTAGAAAATAAAAAAAAAAACTAAACGAAATTAAAAGCTACTGTCCTTTGAAGAGATCAAACACGTAAATTTACAAGTTTTATACACAATTTTGACAAATTAAAGTGTCTATTTAAAATCCCAAATTTCAATCATTTTACAAGTTGAGAATCGACCCTCTGGCCATTAATGAAAAACGAAAAAATTGTTTAAAAAATGTAGCCAATGACAAAGAACAGAAATGTATGTATATGGAGAAAAAAAATTATAATACTGTTTTTGAAGCTGTCTGAGACTCCGGCCTAAAGGTCGCTCTAGTTTTGACCGTCTCTTCGGGACTCTACGTTCCGTACGTCCCGAAGTCACTTAATCTTGTTGCAAAGTAAAAGTTTTGTGCATCGAACCAGTGGTTTTTGACATTGGTTGGATACATTTGGACCATAAACTCATCATTAATGCGTAGTGACAGATTGACATTCGACTTCTTGATTTTTTTGGCTTACACTATCTGTTAATAAATGTTTCATAATACATTTCTTCGGACTTCCCGATTCTGACACTGACGTGTCAACATCGAAATGGTGGCCTTAGAATCGGGTGTCCAGTTTTCACAAAATATCAAGTTTTAAAGACCATTCAACTTATAAATTCTTACTAAATAATTTAGTGCATCCAGTGCTGAAGTTTCAAATACATATTTTAGTAAAAGTGAATGGGGATTAGTTCTGGTGTGATTACATTCATACTTTTCTCATTAAAAAAAAAATACGTAACATTGGATATACAGCAAAAGTTAAAACCCATTTAAATGATTTACCCCTTTAAAGTAAATATTAATGAAGTGGAAATAGTTTTGTTACCACGTTCCTTGTGTGACTCTCTAGACATGCTGTTCTCATTATAAAAAACAAAATTAGGCAGATAACGAAAGCTTAAACCATACAAAAAGTTTGAAGAAGACGCATTTCCTCATTTTATCCAGACTGGTTTTTTCTTCGATTTTGTTAGGTGAAACAAATTGCATCAATAGCACTAGTTTTAAGTCATAAAAAAGTTAAGCAACTTTAAAATCTTGCTAAGCTTATGTAAGTCGATAATCTGAGGATAGGTAAAAACGAATTCTTAGTTTTTTTAAGCTGTTGTGTTCTTAGAATATTTTTCTAATGTTAAGGTTGTGTTTGAATTTTTAACGTGATTTTTCGAGTATTTTTACGTGTTTATTTTATAATTTGTAACAAAGGCCCTAAATGCTCACCGTACAAAAATACGAGTTAAATTTCAATTATCAAAATGTCGATGTTAGTTCTGTCAAACATAAACGCTCAGAAGGAACTTTATTGAAAGATGTATGCAGATTTTGGAATACAATTTTGTTAGCATCATCATTTTTTTTCCAAAACATACATTTATAAACTTTGTCCACAATAGAAGCGATTTATATACAATTAAAATTCCAAGCGCATAAAGATGAAATACAAAAACATTTCTATTATAAACCGCTTCTGAAAAAAATCGATAAAAAACAAATGAAAACCAATAACAGCAATAACAACAAGGAGACACCACCGCGAGCACGTTCAGGGCCCACCCGTTCATAAATTCTATAAAAATAACAACAATGAAACGCCTAACACTATCAAAACAAAGAAGCAAAAGAACTACGAGTCGTTTTGACTGCCGCATTCTGATTCGCTTTCCGAATCGTCCGAATTCGACGTATCGCCTTCGTAGTGCAGTTTTTCGTCAGGATCGTAGTACACTTCGGCCCCCGGGAAGATATACCGACTCGGGGGTACGAGGTGGAAGGAATTTTGCGGCAACCTGCAAAGAAATATTATTATGAATCATTCGAACTATCACTCGATTCATTTTATTACAGTTATAATCCACGGTGTTCTTTAATATTGACAATTTTAGATAGATACGTTATGCAGTCTAACCTAAAATACAGCGTATTCAATACCAGCTACTTATCTTGGTATAAAATGGAAAGTTCGCTCATAGCCTGCCGCGTATTTGACGAAGTAAGAAGAAATTCAGTCTGGACTACTTGTTATTCAGTTAATTTTGAGATGTTAGATTTTAAAATATTGTCCGACTGGGGACAGGTACAATTTACTACGCAGAATTTTTAGAGACTAATACAAAAAAAAAGTTGTATTTTGGTTGCATGCCCTTCCCATACAATATAGTTAGAAATATCAATTTGTTAATAGTATATTACGTAACAAGAGTTGTAAGTAACCCATTACGCACGAAGTGAAAAAGTTTAGGTACGAAGCCGCGCAGCGGCGAGTGCGTAAATTTCACGAGTGTGTAACGTACTATACTTTTTTCTACGCCCACTTAAAACATTCTCAAAAAAGGATTTAACGTTATGCTTGTGACGCCAATCCATAAATTTTCGATAGGTAATTTCGTACCTTTCACTGCTAACAAACATATTCGTAGATAAAGCTGAGAAAATGTTCGGATACAATCATATTTTGTTACAAAAATTGACAATATAAATAGCATAACGTTTATTTCCATAGCATGCTAAGAAAACGCGACATATTTTTTGAAATATTGTATATTATGTTGCCGACCTTTAGGGGCATCACTCTTTTAATCCAAAATGTATCTCGCTAATGCTAAAAGTTTTTATATTTTTTAAATTAAACTAAAGTCTTACGTAGACAAAAATTTTATTGCAACTTGATTAAACCAAGAAATTTAAGTTTTCTTATCAAAACGCACGTGTATGTTATAAGATCTCATTACGTGCATGTTATTGTTAAATGTCATTTACAAGGAATGTTGATAGTGCGATTTTTAACGTTTACTGACAAAATATTAGTTAAGTATCTGCATACTAAAAAAACAATTGAGTAATAAGTTTAAAAAATAAAAGTAACAGAAGATATAATATATTTAATAATGGCCTACTAAAAAAATAATAAAGGCACAAAACGGAGGCCAAAAGCTTTACAAATAACGGTTCATTGTGCTAACTAATAGGGAATAAATCTACGATTTTGTAAACTCACCTTTCGGCCAGACTTTTCTTAACCTTAGGCTGCCAGTACCCCCTCAAATCTGACGTACTCCTCCTCAATTCATCCGCAGACTCGGGCGCCGCCGAAGACGTCGACGCGGACGGCTCGTTGCAAATCTCCAAACAAAAACTGCTGCTCTTCTCCTCGCAGCAATTCTCGTCCGATTCGTCGTACTTGTCGGTAAAATTAGAATTCTCTCCGATGCCCGAATCCTTCGCTGAATCGATGCTCATGTGCCGTTCTTTGCCGATTTTCGTTTCCGCATCGTCGCATCCGTTAATTGACTTGTAGTTGAAGCACATGCAATTCTCCGGCCTCGAGGAATTGACGTTGTTGACGTTTGTACTGTTGGTGTTGGTGCAAGTGCAAGGGAGGGAGGTGGACAAATCCGTGTCGGGCGGGCAGACGAATTGGGCGATTACGGCGGTGGGCGGATCCGGGGGAGGCGGATCGTCTAGCGGTAGTAGCGTGTCGGCGTGTTGGAGAACTTGCGCGGAGTTGATGCCTTCTTCCCATTTGTTACCCAATCTGGAAGGGATGAAGATGCGAATTAGAATCCGTTAAAATTAACCAAAGAAATAGTGACAAAATAGGGATTACTCAAAAAAGAGCTATTGTAGTTATGTAAACAACATTCACCAAAATTTAAGAAGTATAGTGTAGATGAAATAGCAAAAGAATATTGTTCGGTTACCACTTTACCACTGTGAACTTAACCTCATTGAACTAATTGGGCTCAAATGAAGGGATATGTCGCGGGAAACAATACAACATTTAAACTTCAAGATGTTCACTGGACAATTGGCACAACGCTATAAGACATGTCATAGCAGAGGAAGAGAAATTCTGGAAACCTGATATGTTAATAGAGGAAACAATAGGACCAATTATTATTTCTGTGGAAAGTGAGGAAACTGATGGTGACGACTCCTTATGGGAAAAAACAACTCATTTATTTAGGTATGTAACTCTATATTTATATTAATTATAATGACACTAGTAGGTACCCGAAATACAAACAAATTCATATGGAATCTCCCCGTATTTCTAAAAATGAAATATGAGTGTTTTATGAGAAAAGATTTTTTTTGCAAATATTTTTTTGGTATATCATATAATTTTGGTTGTGTGTATATTTATTATTAAATTTTAAGGAAATATCCTAACCTAATATCTAGTATACTATTTTTATAAAAATAAATGTGGGTACGTAATAGTTTACTATTTTTTATATTAAAGTAATTTCGTATTCCCTGTCACTGGGGTATAAAATTATTGGTTAATCCCTTAGGTTTGCTCATTTACATTATATGATGTATTATATACGAGATATTTCAGGGTGGTCATACTAAAATTTAGTGAAAATTCAGATAAGAAGGTATCAATATTTACTTTTTTCTGCTTTGAACAATCCTATATTTGCCATAAAAACTGTGCTATCATGCATTTTTAAATAAACTATAAATAATTAATTTACTTTATTAGGTAATGAATTTACTTTGTTAGGTAATGAATTTACTTTGTTAGGTAATGAATTTACTTTGTTAGGTAATGAATTTACTTTGTTAGGTAATGAATTTACTTTGTTAGGTAATGAATTTACTTTGTTAGGTAATGAATTTACTAGGAATGTGCACGAGCTTGATCGAGCAGGCTCGGTTCTTGCTTGTATTGCTCGAGCACGCTCGAGCGGAGCTCCGAACAGTACGACCAGTCCGATGCCCGAGCGGCTCCTGTATAATATTCGGCTCGAGCATCTCGCGTATCGGCTCGGCTCGAGCCTCGAACGATCCGAGTGTTCCGTACTCCGAATCATTAAAACTCTCGGTAATGAACTCATCGAGTAATTTTTCCATACCTAGTTGCATATTATTTAATAAAATTAATAAAACCTCGATCGTCCCTTAGTGTGACTCTATAAAAGCAGCTTCGTCAGAGAGATCACGTGTACAAGGTGTGATAATGTTTTCGAGCACTCCATTGCTTAGATGGACCGAGTTTATGACTGGTTACTTATCCGAAATATCAAATAATTTTCATTTATTCGAATGAAAAAAATCCTATAAACGTTATTGGAGTCAAAAACTTATTCTTATCACACTTATATTACGGGGACCGAAACACAATAATCACTTTTCACCACTAAATTTAATGTTGAATGATTCATTCAGAGTACGAAACGCTCAGATCATAAGAGACTCGAACCGTACCGGTACGCGATGCGCTCGTATTATTCGGAGCTGCGTTGTAGCGTGCTCGAGCTGCAATTTTTCGAACTTGATCGCGAGCGCTCGAACTTTACAAGCTCGTGCACATCCCTAGAATTTACTTTATTAGATAATGAATTTACTTTATTAGATAATGAGTTTACTTAACTAGGTAATGAATTTACTTTTATTAGTTAATGAATTTATTTTCTTAGGTAATACATTTTCTTTATTAGGTAATGGATTTATTTTATTAGGTAATTAATTTACTTTGTTAGTTTGGCTCCTCAAAAATTATTAAAATCAGTAATTATGTTGGAACTGATTTTTTATAAATTAATAATAATGATCTGTTGTACTGAAAATAAGTACAAACCCTTTTCTTATTGGTTAGAATAATTCCCACTTCTAGTATACATAATTGTGAGAAGATGTAATCGATACTTACAGCCTACAAAGGTGATTAATGATGACGTCACAATCGCCCAACAGTTCCACATCGAAGTGACAGTGCGTCAGGGGTTCCCGGTTGATAAGAATTTGAGGTACGTGCGCAGGCAGACTGCTCGGTATCAGCGCCACCGGTCTTACTTTCAGCGAACTACCGATAACCAATAGTAGATCACAAACCGATTTATCGTCCGTCATCGCTTCGTGAAAGGTGTCGGGAAGACCTTCACCAAAGAAAACGATGTCCGGTTTCATGATACCTGAAAGATAAAATTAAAATGAAGATATACTGGAAACTGGGTAGATTTAATTACTCTGGATTTTTGAAAATATACATATTATACTGGGTAAAATAAAAATACATGTACATATCTTTTGTTATATGTGGGACAACCATTCAGTTAGTGTGTTTAAAATAGAGAAATTAAATAATTATCATAGTATGGTATTTAGTATTTTTGTAGATTTGAAACGGGCGTTTGAAACGATAAATCGAAATGTTTTGATAGAAAAATTAGAAATATATGGGATGCCGTCAGTAGCGTTAGAATTTAAATTTAAAGATTATTTGAGTAATAGGTATGCCACGACAAGAATAAAAAAAATATTAAGTACTTCTGGGATACCACAAGCGAGTGTTACGGAACCAATTTCGTTTATATTCTATATTGATGATCTGCAAAGAGTGTTAAAAATTAATTCGTGTGTAAATTAATTTGTAGATGATACTGTCATATCTGTATCTAGGCAAAATTAAATTATTTTTTTTTTACCTGAAGCTACGAGTTCCCTATAGTCGGTTCCTTCGCCATTTAATCTATTATCGTCTGTAGTAACTGAGCTTTCTGTACCAGGATGACACTCCTCGCAAAGAGGTATTTTCTGTGTAAGAACAATGTCTCTGATTTGATCACAAGTGACTTTGTGACTGCACTTTGTACACGTCGCTGTGGCAAAAGAACCATGACACTCAATGACCTTGTCGATATTTGCTACCTTTTCTAAAGTGTCTATGTTTTGGGTGTAGTTCCTCAAAAGTTTCCTGTGTTTTTCTAGTAATTTTATAAATCTGAAAAGAAAAATTATGAGTTGAAGTTTTTTAATCTTATTGACAGGTCCTCTTACCTATGACAAGGACTGGGCTGGAATTTTCCGGGATATATGTCCCTGGCGAATTTGAAAAAAGGCCTAGGATCTTGACTAAAATAACTAATATCGAACATAGCTTGTGGATCGGGCAGATTTGGAAAATCTATAGCCAGTCTCGAATAAATGCCGTCCCGGGACCTGAAATCTGGAATACCACAAGACACAGAGACCCCTGCACCAGTTAACACTATAATATTTTGAGCACCTAGAAAAATAATAAATAATTTTCCATATATTTACCGAAAATATCATTAAGCTTACCCTTCATTAATCGTACAACATCGTCTAAGGTATTTACATGTCTTAATTTGTTTCTACGAGGTGGTTCCGATAACATATTTATAATAAGTTTCCATATCGTTACATCGTCTACATATTCTGGAATTTGTCCACCATCTACACCCAATTCGGCCAAAATTTCTCTGGGATTGACTCCTTTCGACATCTGCTGTTGGATCTGGACCAACCGAGAAAATTACAGTAATGATAAATTTGGAGGTACCTTAAATATTTATTAAGTGTTTTTATGATCTCCAAAATATCTCTTGTTTAGGTAAATCTTGTGATTAAAAAAATACGTGTGGCACTCGGGGACTGCCGCGGTAAAGCTATTGCATAGCATTTTTTATCAACTTATGCAATTATAATTATTGATTTATTTTATTTATGCAGTATTTTTATTCTTTGATATTAATTCAAGTTACACTTTTTGAGCGTGGTGACTTATATTGGAAGTTTCTGTAGAAGAAGATAAGCTATGGGTTAAGTTTTTACGAAAAAAGAGAAATAATGTATTTGTTTGGCCAATTTCTGAAGATATAGATAGTGTGTCCACTGATGCTATATATACTATACTTTCAAAACCCACTGAGGGAAGACGAAATGAAAAGATATTTTCAGTGAAGTTTGATGGCCTTAATGTTTATTAACTTTTTTATTATTTTGTCCTTTTTGTTACAAAACAAAGATATTTTTTAGTTTTGTGTACTTGGGTATAAATATTTTTCGATTTTTCGATTGTTCGATTTTCTTTTATTGAATAAATGAGAAGTTAATATTGTATAACGCTGCACCGCTGTGCCGGTGTTAGGTTTTTTTCGTTACGGTTTCGTTTTTTTTTCTTGATTCGGTGGCCGCGCTCAAAGCCCGCGATAAAAGCTATGCAATAGCTTAAAAATAACAGCCTGGGAATTAAAACCAGGGGCCTATTTCATAAAACTATTTTGCAACTTTGCAAATTACAGTAAATTTATGTTTCACAAAAGAGAAATTTGACAAGTTAAAAAGCAAAATTTGAAAATTAATTTGCAAAGTAAAAATGAAAAATTAATAATTTGTAAAATTAACGATATTATTTTATGAAAAACATATTTTTCACTCATAAATTTGCAAAGTAGTTTTATGAAATAGGCCCCAGGAGCTAAGGAAATGTGGAAATACATGGCTAGGGCGATAAAGTAGATGACGGAGGAATTAGTAGGAATAACAGTAAATTAATTTGCTAAAAGAATGGTGGGGCTGGTTTAAAAATTCAATTTAGCTTATAATAATCCGCCCTACGATTTCATATGACTGACTCTTAGACTATATGCTACTCTAATAATTACTTACCCATATCATACTCCCAGCCATGGGTTTCCAATCCTGTCCAGACAAATCGGAAAGTCCGCTTAGCTCACTGACAGTCGACGCGTTGTCATCGTCGTCCTCGACCTCCAGACTGTCCTGAGACGTGTCCTGTTGATCAGTGTGGGTCGGCGTTCTCAGAAATGATTCCGATACGCTGGATAAGCTTTCTTGGATGTCGCCCGGATCTGTTCGCGGGGAGGTATGGTGTAGCGGCGTTGCCATCGATTCTAGATTGGAGGCTTCATATCCCGAATCACAGTCCGCCGAGATACCTGGAAGAGTTGTCGATGTTGATTTATTGTAAACATCCGTCTTATTCTTTTATTATTAATGGTCACTTTATTGAGAACAAATAAATACACACGGTCAGTGATGTTAATTGGTTATGAATTTTTTAAACACCCTGTAAAGTATATTGCAGTATTATAGACTGTGAAATATGTTATAAACAATCACGAAAGTGTGAACAGCATATACTAAAATATATAGGGTGAGTATTTGGGTTGGAAACTTCAAATTATTCTACTTGAAAAAATAGTGGCGATAGTAATTCACAACAAAAAAACATTTATTGTTCAACAGGAAAATTCCAATTACAGAATAATTTAATAGGCAATGTTATAAATATGAAAAATAGAAATATAAATAAAGATAAAAAAAATTAAATTTAAAAATTAAAAATACAAAATACAAATAAAAGAAAAACTACATTTAAAATTTGACGTTTCTCTGCGTTTTTACCTGAACGTTGCCTAATGTAGTTAATTTGAGGTTTCCAACCTAAATACGCACACTGTACGCATAAAATCTCTAACTGACAAATTGGTACAATAAATTTTTTTTCTCAACTGTTAACACATTTGTAATTCATCAATCGTTAGGTGATCATAAAAGCTTAAAATCAAATTTTCGAAATCCTTCTTGGCATTCTGTTATAATTTTGTTTAAATATAGATTTTCATACACTACGCTGCATTGATACATGCAAAAAAAAATGAAGACGTCAGTTACCAGAAATTAGTTTTTTCGCTTCTTCAGTGCAAAAATATTTTTTATACTAAAACTATAAATGTAAAAATTGTTCGGTTCTGAAATACCTATAAAACTGATAAATATATACAGGGTGTTCCGTAATGATGTTCCAATATTTTAACATAGTGATCTACCAAACAATTAAGGGAGGTTTCTTATAAAATTTATTTGGGTCCTCTCTGTCGAGATAGTCTCAAAATGCCGAAAAAAAAAACAGTTTTTATTTATTTATTTTTTTGATAAACGGTTATATTTAGAATTTGTAATTTTGATACATATTATATGCTATTCGAACCCTATTTTGTGATTGTTCTTCCAGTTTATGTGTGTGAAAGACATATCAGTATAGGTTGTTTTTTATTAAGTGAACTACTTATCTGGACAATTTCGGGATTTTCTTTTACAAAATCGTTAGAGGAAAATACTTAAAGTTTTTAACTTCACAACTTAAGAAAATTATTATTTGTTGCATAAAGAGCTGTCTTAGATCCAAAATACCAGTTTATGGAGACCTTGTATTAATTTGTAGCATTTTTTGTCTCTTGCAAAAAACATGTATCTCTCATGGTATTTGGTTAAAAAAAGTTTTATGGACTGATGGTTAGTGACCTAAAATTTTCAAGAAAACTAAGTTGGCGGTTAGAACTAACGCAACCCGAACCGATCTGTATAAGATTATTTTACCGTAGAGAAGTTAGTAGGAGAGGAGGCAACACTTTACGTTTGCACTGTATAAAAATAATAATTAGAATTATTACAAGTTAAAATTGGAAAATAATAAAAGGTAGTAATGTTCCTTCGATTGGTAGGAAACTTATAAATGAGTATAGATACATCCAACGTCAAAAACAGACATACATACATCCAAAGCCCAAATAGGTAAGTGTGAGTAAATTGGACAAGAAGTCTGGTATTAGAGGTTTCTCATATTGATGATATCCTGCATCTGAATTATTATACTATTGCCAAATTATAAGTTGTTTGTATATTGCAGACAAGATGATGGCCGAATAGTCCGGAACTAGTCGCACCAAATTAATGTGGTACCCATTGATTTTGATATTTGAAATTCCGATTAAATTTATTTAACACAGGGCAAACTACAGTAAATAAGTTAATCTTATCGCTATTTATTTAAAATATGTCCTTAACCACCATAAACTCGGAAATAAAGGAGTTTTTCCAAATTTAAAAGTCCGACAAAACACCCTATTTTCAAAAGCATATGTGGTCAAGTAACACATCATTTGAAACGTAATTTTATTAGTGATTTAATGCGTAGCAACCATTAGATATATGATTAAACTTTGTATTTCTTAAAGTTAAGAGCTGAACGATTTTTTAATCATTTAAGTTTATGTTTCATTAAATTATGTTCTATTATATTGTTCAATAAATTACTAACAAAATTAGCTCTCAAATGAAGTGTCACTCAACAATACGTAACAGTATGAATAATCATATTGTTGAATTCTTCATAAAATTACCTTTCAAATGATGTGTTAATTAACTATATACTTGCTATTTAAAAAAGAATACGGGGTTGCTGCTGGGCTCCAGGGGGTTGGTTTTCTAGGTATGAATTTTATATACGTTTTTTATTTTGAAAAATCTTTTGTTTCTGAGTTTCTGGGGTCTAGTTATCAAGTAGTTTTTATTCATGGTTTGATAGAAATAAAGTGTCGCAAGTTATTAAGTATTTATTTAAAATACATTTTGAATTTCTTGTTTAAAGCTACTTTGCTAGAAAAATTCTAGTAAATAAAAAATGTTTTAAAAATCGACTTAGATATTTGACATGAACGATCGCACACTCATTAATTTTATTAGTAATAATCAATATTATACCGATTTTAAAAAGTATTTTCAATTTGTTAAATTTTTTTCATAGAACAGCAGATGTTTTTAATTTTTCCTTCGCTAGTTTGCATTTCAATTTCAATGTTTAACCATCTTTATATATACGCTAAACATCAAACAACGATGATCAAATCAACCGCGCCAACCGGGAAACTTTCGAAAAATGCGACAAAAATCGCCTCGAGTCGAATAACTTTTTGTTCCAATTGCCTTATCGCACTTTTATCGTGGTATTTTGCAATGACGTAAAGATAATAATTTCATTGAGCGCCTCTTCTATTATTGCAGCTACATTTTCAGAAAATCTGCTGATTTAAGTTTTGTGGAGACATGTGTTAAAAACGTTTGAAGAAAACGGTTGTTGATTGGGGTAAGTTTCTATTATATTTCTATTGGTCGATTTATATGAACTCTGCTTGGAAAAATTATATCCAAAATATATGTTGTGGGAAATATTTTTTCATATTATTGGAACAGCCAAAATTTTTTGCTAAAATACCGGGTTGATTCTGCTAAAAACGTCAGTTTTATGTTCCTGCTAATTTTTGTGTGTGCTAATGATGCAAAAATTTAGTATTTATTATTGAATTGCATTTTCTAAACATTACAATTCAGTTTTTTTAATATATAACTCCAAAACATACCGAATATGAAGTCTCAGCTCGCGAGTGTTAATGTTCTCACGTATAAAATTTCAAGACAATATGTGAATTAAACTTTTAAAAAAATGAAAATTTTAATAAGTTGAATATTCTTAATAAAAAACTAGGTATATGGATGTATTTTTCCATAAATATAAAAATGACTTTAAAAAATGCCCTGTCCCTTCACCCCCTAGCTGATTTGTAGGAGTTGTCACCCTCAAAAAATGAAGTCACAATTTTTTCAATAAAACAGTTGAAATTACGATTTTTTTATATACAAACCCAAAATTTAATTTTTTTTTCAATTGACATTTTTCGACCTAAACCGTCATAGTTCGGATGTGGGTGCTGGCACTTAAAAATAAAACAGAAATCTAATTTTTGGCAAATTTACAATGTATTTGTATAAAAATCTTGCTCCCACCATCCCCGATAAATTAAGTCAAAACTTTTTAAATAAAACAGTTGGAACCTACATAGATACCCAAAATTTCAAATTTTTTGTACAAAAATTTGTTTTTCAAGGGCGGCTCTAGGGGCTTCATGACCCTCCTTTAAAGACTAAAATTTCTATAATTCATGAACCTTTTATTAAAAAAAATAAGATGTTAAAAAGAGAATTGTTATTGTCAATGCCTCCTCCCTCCCCTCCGAAAAAAACATTCGTATAGCCTTCCTTACGAAGTATGATGATTAGGTCAAAAAAATTAATAGTTCGGATAAAACGAATTAGGTTAAAAACGTTTAAAGAAGTCTAATAATATTCATACACGCCACCTGGCATTGGGACAAATGCTGAAGACGTAACAAATAAATTGCTACCAAATCAAGAATAGCAAGAATGTCACCAGTTACGAAATGCCTTATTTTATGTAACAATTTGTTTCTTTTTAATTCGGTTTTAAACATTTGGCCAACAAAGAACACGGTTTAGTAGAATACCCTGAAGATTTTTTAACATGAAATGCCTTCCCAAATTGAACATATTCCAGATATTTTACGAAAATCTCAATAATGTAAAAGTTATCATACCGCCCTTACTTCAGTGTTCCAAGTAGGATATGCATTTTCAGTGATTTTCACGATGACATTAAAGTTAAGTGTTTATTATGTTCTATGGTTTATTACTTGGTTATGACAATTAGTGCGAATTTTAATGTCTTTAAGCACTGGTGCTTCTATTGTTGCTCTTATTTAAGACGGAAGAAGTCAAATTTACTTGGCTAACAGATTCAAGGCATCACGCAGTACCGTGCAACGTGTATTTACACGTCTTATAAAGATGGGAGTTTACACTAGACGACCTGGAACTGGTCCCCAGAGAAGAACTACTCATCGACATGACCGTTTTATATCTTCAGCACTAAGAAATCGTCACACAACTGCTATAGATATTAGAAATAACCTTGTACATGTCAGGAACATAAATGTTAGTGAACGAACAGTTAGAAGAAGGTTGAATTGACTCGCTATAGGACCAGAACTTTCCAGGGAACAGCATGCAGCCAGATTACAATTGACTAGAGCATCAAAATTGGAATTCAGATGACTAGCTTCGCATTGTTTACCGATGGATCCAGATCCCCAGATGGTCGCGAACGAGTCTGGAGAAGAGAAGGTGAATGATATGCTGAGTGCACTTTTAGCCCTAGGGTAACTTTTAAAGGGAGTTCAGTTATGGTATGGGCTGGAATATCTTTGGAGGCGCGTACAGAATTGTACATGGTCCCTAGGGAATCTGTGACTGCAGATAGGTACCTAAATGAGATCCTACAGGAGTATATTATCCCAAATTCACCATTCATTGGTGACAAATTCATGCTGTTGCATGACAATGCACGCCCTCATTATCACGGAATATTTGATAAGTTATTACTCAAATGACATGGCCAGCCCGCAGTCCCGATCTAAATCCCATCGACCATGTTTGGGACATGCTCGGTAAAAAGATTCGAAGCCAGGTACCTGCTCCTCTTACCTTGGATCACCTCAGAGTGGCTCTTTTAGGGTAATGGAAAGCAATTCCACAGAATGAAGTATTCAACTTGATTAACAGTATGCCTAGAAGAATGAATGCCGTTATACGGGCTCGTGGAGGTAATACGAGGTATTAATTATAATACGAGGTATTAGACAGACAAGTGATAAATACTGGTTTTTTAAATTGTATTTTGGGTTTCTGATGATAATTGTGTAACTGTTAATAATGTTAATACATTTCTTTTCTTTGTGTTAATGTTTACATACGTGATTCTCTTGAAATAAAAGCTTTCCGAAAATATTTCTTGAAGAAAGCACACTTTAAAAGCATATACCAATCCATGCCTATCATTGACAAAAGTTACTATAAAAAAATATAAAATAGGCATTTTAATCAAATATTATAGGAGTGCCTATTTTTCGTGCTGGTGAGTGTATTTTCATAAGGCAACCTGCTCTTTATTGATACTTTCAATAATAATGTATGTAATGATTTTAAAACCAAAAAAAGGTTTATTTTTCTTTACGCAACTGGTGACATAATGAATTTTTTCATAATGTACACAACAATATGCTCTGGTTGCATTAAGTAGGTCATTTTAACACTTGATGCGATTACAAAAATGACACTTTATATGTCAAAATTAGAAAAAAATCTTGTTTGATATACAATTACAAATTTTAAGGAGTCGTGTATAAAATTTTGTATGACACATGTTTGAACATGTTTTTGAACACTAGTTTATTTTTTATTTAATAACTTTCAAACTACAACAAATACTTTTTTACGTATGTGTCTTGCTTTAGTAAATAGTAATAAATTTCAACAAAAAAAAAATTCTTAGTTGCGGAGTAAGTGTAACAATTTCGAAAAACTTAATTTAGACTGCTTTTAAAATAATTTTCAATCAGTTTTAAATAATTTGTTGCTGTACTTCTTTTATTTACAAATCGCTATTTGGTACTTGGGGCAATGTTTTTTTTTGGTTCATTAATAATTGAATATTGAGCAACTGGTAACAGGTACTGACTCAAAACATGACGACTGAACCAAACATGTTAGTTTAGTCAAGTACTTTTAGTTTTCGAAATAAAGGCCTTTAAAATTGAAAAATGATTAGGTATTTTACTTATATGTCGTTTATACAAGAGAGTATTACAATCCGAAATTTTCGCCCGAACACCCAGTATGTCATATTTTAGCCTATTGGTCAAAAAGAGATGCAATACACAAAATATTGCCACGTGAGTAGGGTTACCAGACGTCACGAAACGTCCGGACATGTCCCGAATTTTCGCGTTTTTTCTGAAATGCACCGAGAATTACTGTCCAGAATTTTCAGGAAACTCATCATTAAGGTATACTTAAAATTTCGTATAGACAGTTTTTTTGGCCGTTAAAACCCTAAAATGTTTAGTAATTATTTCACAAGTTGGAGTTTTGTCCGTATTTTTAGAAATATCCGGAATTTTCATTATCACATAACTAATTCCGTGTTGTTGTTTGGGTGGACATTTCCAGTGGAAATTTTGAAATCAAGTGTGGTTGACATTCTTGCAAATTAAGAGCAAACCGGACACCTCGAAAATTTATAATTCATTCTGAGTTCTGAGCCTTTATTTTTAGTCAGATTTTTGTGAAATTTTCAGGAAATACCAATAATAAAACTTAGGATGGAGAAACCTTGAATTATTTGTAAACCTTCAAAGTGTTTATTTTGAAAAGAAAAATTAATAATTAAAAAAAAAAACATTTACGCGACGTTCTATATTAAATCTATAAGAATTTGCTGCTTTTTGTTTTAATAAATATCTAGTAATTTTTAAATGGGATGATTTCCCACCTTTATTTCTTAGAGTGCTGCCTTACCGTTGCACAAATTTAAAGTTTTTAATATTGTCAAGACACATAATATCACGAAGTATTCCCAGTGGCACCCATATTGATACAATTTTATATTAGAAAATATTTATAACATTTTTGATTTCGCGAGAGGTCCGGTTTGCTCTTAATATTGTTATTTCTTCTTTTCTATTTTACTTTTTACTAAAGTCATTTAGTGATGATGGCAAATAATCAAAATAAAGAATTTGCCTATATCATTCTGCCAGTAGAGATTATTTTTCTTTCTCTTGGGAATTTATTTTCATTTCTATTGACTAGAAGGATAGGCTGTATTGAAAAGGTTTTTTAGTGTGGGTGGAAAAAAGGAGTAGGTACCTAATTTTTAAGAGCAAAGGTGGAATTTTAACATCTCGTGATGAGTTTTTGAACTTTGATTAGGTAACATTGCATCTTTACAGAGTAATACTTTCTCATGTAATACAGTATTAATAATAATTTACTAAAGTTTACCCATTTTTCCTGGGTGATTTTACACTGTTCAGGAATTTGTGTAAAATACCGAGCATTTGATATAATGTAAAATTGTTAAGCCTTTTCGTAGTTGCACAGTGGTAGCCAAATCAGAATAATATTGATTTAGTAACATAAATTAAAGTAAATAAATAATATATCAAGTTAACAAGCATTTATAGTGATTTTCTTTCCTTCAAAATTTACATGGATATATTTTGTAATTATATTTGAGAATTTTTGAGCTAAAGTTACAAAAATTGTTGGTGTTCTGCAGGGTATAATGTTTTCTTCTTCAGTTTAATGGCCTCCACCTCTTCAGATAAGGTTTTTTATTTAGGTACTTTTACTAGTTCTAATTAAAATATTACATTGAATTCATATAGAGCCCTAGCAAATTTCTTGAAATGTTTAATTAATTTAATAAATTATAGGTAATGCAATTTTTAGTGTAACATTATGAATGATTTAAAAAAAATTGACATTGTTGAAGCATTTACAAATAAAAATATATTATTCTTAACATTGAAATTATGAACCTGCCTTAAAAAGTGTTATGGCAATTCTGCAAAATTATAATTTTTTGCATAATTTATTAGTGTTCTAAAAAGAAAAGGCATTTAAACCGAAAATGAATTGGTATAAGAACATAATATGTTGCATATTATGCAACTTATAATACAAAATATTTAAATACCTACAACCACCAAATAAAATAAATACTTATTTATTTTCCAACTTTACATCTTTTTAAAATTTCCGGAAATTTACGAATAGATAAGTAAGTACTATACAAAATAGTCATTTCAATCAAAACATTTTCAAAATATAAATTACCTACTACTCATAGGTATACCTACTTTATACTGTTTTCTCTTAAGGTACTTACCTACCTATTTAAAATATTTGTCCATAAATTTGAGTATATGGGAATATAAGTACTTACATAAAAATAATTTAGCGTATTAATTGAAGTCAGAGCTAAAAACTTAAGTGATTTTCAAAAAAAATTCCCGCTTGTCAATTAAAAAATAAGTCTACAGGAAACACGTAAATGCCCAGTTTGCGCATGTCATTTATAAAATAATTTTAAAAATGAATCATTGAAAAATCTATCTATTTTGGCGACAAAATAATCATTAAGCAAATACTGACTTGATTAGCTCATTTCGTCACAAATGGCCTTGAAAAAGAGGTAAATAAAAACACAAAATATACTACAAATTTTGAAATTTATTAATTCAGAACTCCTATTATAATTTAAATAAATGAAAAAAGTGATTAAAAGACCTAAAATGCTGTATAGTTGGTGAAAAGTCGGCGAACTTTTTAAAAAATTCAACTTGAAATCCAAGTGTACCACGCCTACAAAATGTCCGCAGATCGCCTTTGTTTCTGGTCGCCATATTGGAAGAAAATTATTCCCTAAACAACCAAACATATTTTACAAATTTTACCTTCAGAGATGTCAATCGGCCCCGTAGATGATGTGGAAAAACAAGAAAATCCTTCTCCTTTGCACAATTCACCAATATTAGACTCGCTAAGGTCGAGTTTGATTCTTTTTGCACAGGATTCGTGTTCTTGTACGTCAGGATAAGAATCCATCTTTGACACGAATAAAAATCATTTCTACATTCGAGACAGCGAAACAAGACGGTAAATTTACTGCATCCGCGAGCCGCAACGTCATGTAGTGTTGCCAAATTTTTTAAAAAAGCAAATAATATGTACATTTTCAAAATAAACATACTGCAGTTTAGATATTACTTTATCCATAAATATTATTATAAATATGTAACAAAACCGGAAGGTAGTATTTTTTTTTTTATGATTAGACAAGATTCCTAGTTTGCGGACATATTGCCTAGGTACATTATTTTTCGACAAAATTACTACTATATTCCTTATTTATTTTAAATATTAAGTAATTGTGACATTTTAACAATTTTGAAATAGTGTTTGTGCAACAAGAGTGGATGTGATAGCCACTCAGACGAAACTTCATCTTGCGATCCGGATAATCCACTCGAGTTGTACAGTATATTTTTTCTACGACCCACTAAAGAAAATCTATAAATTTTAAAACTTAGAGGTTATATGGATAAAATATCTCTTTTAAAAATAATTTATGACTTTTACTATAATAGTATATTATATTACGAGCGTGGAAAGTGACATTTTTCACATGAGTGGGAAATATATGTATATGAATCCGGAAAAAGCAAAAATAATGTTGGTAGTTGCTTCAAATTTTTTTAATAATTTGTTAAAAAGAAATATCTAAGATCTATTTTTAAAAATTATTGTTAACAATTTAATCATCAAATTGATTTTACTATTAAAATGGACATTACATTAATCAAAATAAAAATTAGACGTCTGACTTATTTGACAGCTTATGCGGAAAGTAGATTTATATTCACACACGTGTGGAAAGTAAATTTACCACATGCGTGTGATATATAACACTAAATAGGGCGATAGGTGTCACTTTCCTAAGTGTTCGTAGGAAAAAAGACTTTATTTTACTAATCTTCACAGTCTGGATTTCAACCCCTGATCTCTTTCGCACGACTTATCCCATATTAGGTTCTCGAATATCTTGTTGAATGCTATCATTTATCGATTTTCACAAGAATCACTCATTTTTAATTATATTTATTAATCTCTAAAACTAAAAAAATACATTGATAATTTTAGTTTGACAGAATAGTCACTTATTTAAAATTAAAAAAAAAATTAAAAAAAACGATAGCCAGTTAGATACCTACAATTCCCAGAAATACCGCAAGCTAGGAGAATCTTATCTAAATACATATCATGTTTCTAAGCACTTGTTAGATATTGTAATACACAAAAGATTCACTTCTGTTTTTGCCGTTGTAACAACAAGTTGTTCAAAGATTATTAATATTGTATTTTTTAAATAAAAAATAATATTTTTTAAAAATACTTTTTATTATTATATAGATATAGGGCCATTTTACCAGTCTATTAACGCATCTAACTCATCCACCTTAAAGGTAACATATTTGAGAAGGCGAGGCCGAGACCGACTTTAAGCGCAAAGCGACAGCGAAGGAGACCAAAAACAGTCTCTTCACGTCTGAACACATATGAAACACATTTGGGAAGCCGCGACCAACGACAACACTTTTTTAGTACGGTGTAGGACGCAGACAGCACACCAAATCCTTTGGATATCTGCTGGACATCCCAATATCCACTGAATGTCCAGTCCATGGTGGATATCTATTTTATATCCATGAGATGTAATTTATAGACATGCAAATGTCCATAAATAATAGTAATTATATAGCAAATTATTAAAAAATTACGCCATTGTGCTCGCCATTGTGGCTAATAGTACCGTTCAGATATTTAAAATTAATTTTTTAAGGAGTATTCAATATCCCATGGACATCCACTAAATATATCAAAGTCTAGGCGCGAACGTGGATATCCAATAGATGTAATTTTTGATTTTGCTTACTAAGTATAGATGGCGATACCACTTTCGCATCTACTCATGCTCAACCCGCCGTAATTGAGTTCGATCGAAATTTTTATCATATTCAGACTCTATTAGAGACTGGAGTCGAGAATTTCCACTTATTGCTGAAGAATCCTAATAAGGATGACTTTCTCCTTAGTGGGCAAAATCAAAGGCAGAGTGTGTTGAAAATATTTTGAGTGTTGAAAATATTTGTTATCTCTGCTATTTTCTTTCGACGATATTCAATAATCATTGGTTACTTATGAACCTCTACTAAAGATACCCATAAAATATTTTGCTGAATATCCGAATATCTTCTATACGGACATTTGGTTGGATATCCATATTGGATATCCACAAAATATATATTCTGTGGATATCTCTGGTATTTCTTGTATTGTCTGGAAGATACCCATTAGATATTTTGCTGGATATCCATAGGACATTTGGATATCCATATTAGATCCACGGAATATTTCTGATATCCTGTGGATATATTGGATATCCACAAAAGATATTCTGTGGATATCTCTGGGATTTGGTGTGTTGTCTGGGGATATGCTGCTTGCTGCTTGTCGGTCTTGGTCTCGCCTTCCCAAATGGTATCTTTACATGCATCAACTTCATATTGCACACGAATGACAAAATTTTTCATCAGTTAGAGGTGTAGAGGTGAAAAGGTAGTAAGTATTATTACCTATGATCGGTAAAACAATAATGGTCAGATCATCTGTATATAATGTTGTCTAACCATACTGATAAATTTTTGATTTATCTCCGAACTGTTAAAAAACACAGGTAATCGACAGATAGGAATAGTGGACTTTTCCCGAAAAAAAGGGGAGGCTAATCGTAGACGCGTGTTCCGACTACGGTCTTCATCAGTATTACGGTACAGTATATTTGCGGTACTAAAGTAAATATAAATTTGCATTAAATTAAAACAATTTATATAAAACAAGATTAATTAAAAAAATGGAAGTATCAACCAAAAATCTAATAATATTACAACATAAGTAAATTGAATATACATAAGCTGGCAACATTGCATAATTTTTGTATTGTTCCGTGCTCGGATTTATAGGGCAAATAACGAATGGTATCCGACAAGCGGCCGGAAGAGAGACGTGCGCACGCAGTGGAGAATTCTTTCATTCTGTTCTGTTGCCTGTCAAAGTACTGGCCTTTATTTTCCATAATTATTGGAAGAATCCCGAAAATTGAGAATTTTCATCTAAATTTAAGTGCTAGTTTTGATTAAAACAAAATGCCGAAGAATAAAGGTAATATATTACATATTTGATACGTTTTTAGGTTGAAATGTGCTGTAAACAGATAATTGGCATATGCAGACATGCACCCTTTTTTGACATTTCCAAAAATCATTTTTTTACACACGAATGATTCACCAGTTACGAAGAAATTTAATTAAAATGAATTCTACTTTCTGTCTCGTTATGAATTTTGGCGATGATAAAAGATCAAAGTTCTAAAAGATATTAAAAATTTTAGGAAAAGGAGGTAAGAATCGTAGGAGAGGAAAGAACGAAAATGAAACTGAAAAACGTGAATTGGTTTTCAAAGAAGACGGTCAGGAATATGCACAAGTTACAAAAATGTTGGGAAACGGTAGGCTGGAAGCTATGTGCTTTGATGGCGTGAAGAGGTTATGTCATATTCGTGGAAAACTTAGAAAGAAGGTTAGTAAGGAGAAAATACTGCAGCCACGTAGATATGATTTTATTCGTATTTAATGAAATATGTCAGTTTTGTTAGTGTTGATTATTCATTGCTTAAACATTGGATAAATTTGATAAACATAAACTATAATCATAGGTAAACAGTGTATATATCTACCTAGTCTCTAGGTATAGTTCCAGAATCTATTAACACATTCACTATGACAGAATGTTATGCCTATTCTCACTATAACCAATTGTGAACATTCCATAACTCTCACCACTGTAAATATTTAGTAGTTTAGATATTGTTATCAAATATTTCTGTATATCGATGGGGAAACCTAAAAATGCATGTAACTCCACATTTTAGTGAATTTCAGATATTAGTGTCATCTAGCTGGCATACTTTCACTGTAGACAATTGTGTATCATTCTTTCCTGCAGTAATTGTTCCAAATTGGAAAATATAAATTACTGAACTCCAGACAACTCACATTTGCAAATAAAAAAAGTGTCCACAGTAGTTTTAAGACAAACCATTTGTTGCCTCTCATGCATTTTTTTTTAATGGAGGTGCACACATTTCAGGTTTTGCCTTTGATATGTCAATTTTTATTTTTTATGGCACAGTGTAATAAAGTCTAATATGCTATTGGCTAGTAACCAATCTTCAAGGCGAGCAGCTTATGCTGAAATAGCACAACTTTATAATTTTTGGCTGATTTAATAATGCTCTACATATGCTAGCACACCTTGTCTCTCCCAAGGAATTCTGGTTAATCTAATATCCTTTATAAAATCGCCATGCACTACCGTCTCGATGTGGGTGAGGTTTTCCCCACCTGTAAGTCAAATGGCACCATCAATCATCTTTAAGTCGCCCCGGAGCGCCATGGCAAATAATAATAATAATAATAGCCGTCCCTTTTCCTGCACAAGCTCAGCTTTTGGGGTTAAAATCAGGGTTCGAAAATATCATATTTATATAAATATATCACATGATATATATTGGATATATATCAGTTTTAAAATTTAATTATTTAATTAAAAACAGTATTGTTTCTTGCACAAACTATATTTTAAATTTTAACAAAAACTAATATTCTAAACAACAAAACCGTTTATTCTAACTCAAATTAAAAAGAAAAAACAAAAATAATTTATAAAATTAACAAATTTTAACATTATTTTGTTAACATTAATATTTAACACAAACACATATTAATCGCTAGTTATTATACTTTTATACAGGGGCGTATTGAGACATTTTCTGATGTTCAGAATGGTGTAAAACATTTTTAATTTAATAAATAAAATTATCGAATATATCGGATATATATCAAGATATAAATCGTGATATACAGGGTGTCCCGAAATTAGACGGTCATATTTTAACAGCGTAATCTACATCCTAAAATAGGAGTAAAAGTTCATATAAACATAGGTCCAAAAACGTTTCGTTTTCGAGATACAGGGTGTACCAAGTAAAGTCCTGATGGCACATTTTTGTAAATATTTTCTAAAATTTCCTTTAGTCACTGGTTTTCCAAAGTAAAAAAAAATAGGTTTTTGATTCCACAGGCATACTAATTATTGTTTACACTTTCGAATAACTTATCATGAAATTTTCAAATGCTTTTCTCTTGAAAATGGCGCGTCCTAGCGAGATGCAACAACAGTAGCTTTATTATAAAGAAAACATTGGTTTTTCAAATTTTATAGTCAAAAATGTTAAAAACTGTCAACAAAAAAACTTGGGGCAATTTTACCCTAAGCCCCCCTAATTTACCCACCTATGAAGATGATCAAAAACTGGGGTTTAGTCCATTAAATAGAGCGTAAAAAGGTAAGCATTTGTACCAAATTTCATTTAGTTATCTTTAAATGTTTAGAAAATATTTACAAAAGTGTGTCATCAGGACTTCACTTTTAACACCCTGTATCTCAGAAAAGAAACGTTTTCGGACCTATGTTTATATGAACTTTTACGCTGTTAAAATATGACCGTCTAATTTCGGGACACCCTGTGTATCATGATATATATCACTTGATATATATCCTCTGAACCCTGGTTAAAATTCACTCGTAAGGGGGTGAATTAGGGAGAGTATTATTATTTATTATAGTCTGGAATATCATTGGCACAGGAACTTTATTTATTCATCTCAGCAAATATAATTGCAGAACATTTGAGGAGTGTTCATTCAAAATCAGACATGTCCACTTTTTATACAAAACGTGATTAATACAAATTCCGGGTATTTTTCCGGGATTCTATTGATTCCTGACATCAGAATCGTGCAAAAGCACACATAATCCATTTAAAAATTTATGTAAACTGCAATATTTCAGTCAAAATCAGATTAAAAACTAGAATGAAGATTTATAATGCTTGGCATTCTATATTATTTAACAGGTCCCCTTAAGCCCCATTTTCAAACAGATTTTTTTTCAGAATCAGTGGGCTTCACCCCCCTTATAAAGCTTGATTTTTCCTGAAGATTTCAAGTTTATATTATTTTTCGTTTTTGAGTTACGATTTTTTTAAATATTTCAACCCTCCTTATTCCCACATTTTATTCCGATTTTTTTCAGAATCAATATGTTTGCTATTTTTTTTAATTTCAACTCGCCTTAAACCTGCATTTTTCATCAGATTTATTTCAAAATCAATGGGCTTCTTCCCCTTATAGAGCTTGATTTTTGCTAAAATTTCAAGTTGATATTATTTTTTATTTGCAACCATATATGTAATATTGTCATTACTAAAGTCATTGAAGGTTGGGAAGTGTCACATTACACACCTCTACTTCCCGACCTCACTTCCCGACCTCACTTCCCGCCCTCATTTCATATATTCTAGATGAATATTTTTTATATTAAAAAAAAAATAACACATTTTTTTGACAAATTTTATAATACCTATTTAATGGCAAACAATAAAAAACAACAATGAACTAAAATACAACAAACTACTTATTGATATTTATTATTCGCGAATTTAATATCGGGCTTTATCTGACATTTATTTATATTGGTGACAGTTGTTTTCACGGTAACAATATATTTACTTAATTATTCTGAGAAAACCGCGCGCTTGGTAATTTGTCGTTAAATGTAATATTTTAGGTATGTTCAGAACGAAACAGATTTATTAACTTTGATCGAAAAATGATGGTTGTAAATAAAATAGTATACAAACCTCGGTAGGAAGTTTCATTTCTGTCTCGAGATCATAGCTAACCTCGACGCTTCGCGTCTCGGTGATCTAACTAATCTCAGGACAGGAATGAAACGCTTCCCACCTCTGTGTGTAATATACTATTGTTTTTGAGTTATAATTTTTTTTTTAATATTTCAATCCCCCATTTGTATTCAGATTTTTTCAGAATCAATAGGCTTCATATCCTTATAGAGCTTGGTTTTTACTAAACATTTCGTGTTGATTTCACTTTTGATTTATGATTTTTTTTTTAATTTAAACTCCCTTAAACCACCATTTTTAATTAGATTATTTTCCAAATCAATACGCTTCCTCCCTTTATAGCTAAACATTTCAATTTTATATCTTTTCTCATTTTAATTTACGATTTTTTTAATATTTCAACCCCCCTTAACTGTTCCATTTTTTCAAAATTAATAGGCTTGGTCCCCTTATACTGCTTGATTTTTTTGTAATTTTCAAAATTTTGAACCATAACAAAAATTTTGTTTCTTGAAATACTCTTTACAGACTACTACGTCAAGAGTATAATAAGTTCCAACTAATCTTTAATAACAAAATGTAGCCAATCATACTTTGACATATATGTAGTTATTTGGTATGTGTGTATGTGTATTAGGGTGCTTCATTTTCAGACAGTTTTTTTTTCTCTGTGCTATCTGAAAATCTGCAACTTTATAAAGAGTAAAAAATGTTGCCGCTGGGTAAAAGGTTCTAAATGCGATAGCGATTTAAAAATTCGACTTCCCATTTAAATAACATAGGAAACATTTTTTGTTTGGTTTCAATTTGATTTTTCGATATTAAAAATTTTTTTTTTTTTGAAAAACCCGTGTATATCTTTTGTAGGGCATAAAATCCGCTGCAATGAGTTTTTTGAGTGAATCCCCTCCGACCAACAGTTTTTGAGTTATCGAGCTAGAAAGATGAATATCAATTATATTTCACATCAAATCTTCTTTTAACTAAAATTTATTATTTTTACATCTAATAATAACTTATTATAAACATTTGGACGCTACAGTTCTAATTTTCAAATTTTTTAGTTTCATTTCTAACCACAGTAGTACTACTCTTGACTTTGTCTATACTTCCATTGATGTAAACAGAAGTTTTTGCTCTTCAATCCTATTGACTAGCATTGATTGTTGATAATTGTGCTTTAACCTCATTGTTTATTTTTCTGTTTCTGTCATAAATGTCAGACTCAGTGATTAGACTCATATTTAGCTGAAATGACTAATAAAAACTCCTGTAAAAACATTTATTTACTTGATTATGAACGTAAGATACCAAATAATCGGGAAGTATTAAGTTTATTGATGTACAGTTCATCAAATTTCTAGAGGCTTTCGACGGCTAGACAGAGAAAGCACTACTGACAGGCATCCCGACGGATTTACGCAATGAAAGTACACTCTGCGCATCAAGTATTTCACTATTTTATTCAGACGTAAATGTCAGATGTAAATTTCGCTAAAACATTTCTTTTATTTTCGTTTGTTTTTTGCTCATTACAGTTTAATAGAACCTAAGTATGGAGTTTAATAGCAAATTAAGAGGCCGCGTGATTAACAGTCAATCTCGCGAAATAATAGCCAATGTTATAGAGTTTATGAGAAGAGAAGGAAACTTTAATTCACCTTCAATACCATTTAAAAATGTAAATGATCGTGTTGCTGCAGCCACAGGAGTATCTAAAAACACTGTCGTCCGCATTTCTGGAGAGATAAAAAGAATCGATAACCGTGAGATATCGGAATTTTCATCACCAAGAAAAACCATTAAAAAACCA